TCAATTTAAAGGAGATAGACAAGATTCTCTAACTCCAACGTATCGCAAGTCGCGGTGGCATCACCAACTGACTGGATGGTTAGCAAGTTTAATTTTGGAAGACGAAAATCGAAAGGATTCGGAATTACCCCATGTGGTGTGTGAGTACGCTGACGTTTTCCCTGACGAATTACCGGGATTACCCCCAAAATGAGACGTAGATTTCACGATCGAGCTTCAACCTGGGGCTTCACCAATTTCAATAGCACCACATAGTATGGCGCCAGCCGAACTTCGAGAATTAAAGGAGCAGTTACAAGAACTGTTGAGTAAGAAGTTCATCAAACCAAGTACGTCCCTTTGGGGAGCGCCAGCATTATTCGCGAAGAAGAAGGATGGAACCTTAAGATTGTGCATCGATTATCGACAACTAAATCGAGTCACCATTAAAAATCAATATCCCTTACCTAGAATTGATGGCTTGTTCGATCAATTAAGAGGTTCAAAATGTTTTTCCAAAATTGACCTTAGGTCGGGATATCACCAACTTCGTGTCAGAGGAGAAGATATACCCAAAACTGCGTTTCGAACCCGTTATGGCCACTATGAGTTTGTGGTAATGCCATTTGGTTTGATGAATGTGCCTAGGGTATTCATGAGTTTAATGAACAAAAATTTTACCCCCTATTTGGACCAATTTGTGGTAGTATTCATTGACAATATTTTGATATACTCACGACCGGAGGAAGACCACGAGCAACATCTGAGAACCGTTTTGCAAATTCTAAGAGAGAACCAATTGTATGCTAAAGCTAGCAAATTTGAATTTTGGTTGAGGGAAGTAAAATTCTTAGGTCATGTTGTGTCTGAATCAGAAATATCAGTGGATTCTGCTAAAGTAGAAGCAGTAATGGGGTGGAAACAACCTAAAAATACGTTTGAGATTCGTAGTTTCTTGGGATTAGCAGGTTATTATAGGAGATTCATTCAAGATTTCTCCAAATTAGCCAAGCCAATGACACGCCTAATGCAAAAAGGAGTAAAGTTTGAATGGAATGAAGCGTGTGAGCAGTCATTTCAAGAACTCAAGAAGAGACTGACAAGCGCTCCTATATTAATCATACCCGAACGTGATGTTGGGTATATTGTTTATTGTGATGCCTCTAAAGAAGGGTTAGGTAGCGTGTTAATGCAAAACAGGAAGATAGTAGCTTATGGATTGTAACAACCCTCATACTGTTTACTGATTAAGGACTGATTGAATAC